TAAGTGTGGGGTTAAAAGTGAAGTATGAGATTTAAAGCAAAACAGGTTTTTATCAAGTGGCATCTGTAATAAAAACTTTGTATAAATAGGCATACACATGTCACTCGAAGAAATTAGTAGGTTCGAATAGTAGCAAAAGAAAAATCAAGTTCAAATTTAAAATTATATTCAAATATAGCAAATTAGTTACCTGGAAGTTATGAACAAAGTTGAGATAGTCACTGGCGTTCAAATGTAGCAGTCGTCGCAGACCATGTCCCAAACCTTCACCGTCTGGATCTAGGCTGAGGCGAGAGCATTTGTTGCAGCTTTCATCGCATGTAATAGCAGATGAATAAACGGTATTAAGGCTGGAAGAAGAGTTTATAGTAGAATAGGATGAAGATAAATTAACGGATGCCCCTATGACAGAGGCTGCTGACGAAGGAAGAGAGTGCTGAGTGGTGAGGGAAGGCCGTACAAAGTGGTTCCTCAAATCATGAGTGTCAGCGGACGACGGAAGAATGGAGGCACAACTGTATAAAGCTGGCGAAATATCACCGAAAGGTCTTGCGTGGATAGAGCTAGTTGATGGGACATTAAGGCAATGCCGATAAAGTCGGGGAGGTGCTTGATGCTGATAAGCTAGACAAGTGGGAACAAAGTCGTATTCAAAACGAATACGGTCAGGACAACCAAGCGCGAGACAGATGATATGCAGCTTGATCTCACGAGCAGCCTAAGGTGCATAAAAGATAAAAAAGAAATTAAGGGTCAGTCTTAGAAAACGGTAGCAAAAATGAATAAAGATATTTAATGGCAAAAAAGTAACGGCAGTAAACTATTTCCTGATAATGCAATTTTTCTAATAATTGTCAAGGTGGGAAATAGAAGCTTTTCGAGAATATAAGTATTAATTTAAAGGTAATATTAGATAAAAACTGGTCAGCAATATGGTGTAAAATTTGATTAAAATAAAGAAGTTAGAATAATAGTAAAAGATAAAATTAGGTTGTGATTATATTTTTTTCATTCTATCATATATGAGTCCTATCCGTAAAAGGGTCGCAAGCGAATTAAGTAACTTTTTAAAAATTGCTCAAAGAAACGAGAGCTCATCGCAAAGCTTAATGATTCCGTTCATGCGCAGCGAATGAGAAAGCAAAATGATATTAGATGATATAAACGGTAAATATTTAGAAAATGCCATTAAGCTACTTGGAAATTCCGTTTTAAAGAATTCGACACGCATAAAAGGAATGCCTGGGTTGTTTAGAAGGGTTCTCTACTTGATATGAGAATACTTTATAATCGTGAAATAATTCTGAGGCTGCTCAGAGCCTCTATATTCTAACAAATATAAGTAAAAAGATGTTGAAAATAAAAAAAGAAGAACATTGATAGTCTATTTAAGATGTTGTTAACCAAGTCAGTCTCTCAGGTCTGTAATTACGAGTAAAGATAGTTTTAGAACTTACATAAAAATGGTATGGACAAAGCCTGATAAGAAGTCTTAATGGCCTAGTGTTAACGTGAGACTTTTATAAGAATGTGTTCCGGCGCTGAATATGTCCATCATACGATGTACAAAAGTGAAGCCCACTTTCATTTAAAGCGAGAGAGGATGACGTGCGGACTGCATCAACCTGAATGGCACATTAAAGCCAAAGGGGTGCAGTACAAAGGGAGTCAGCTGTTCTCTTCTGGTGAGATAAATTTACGAGTCTCTTCTCCATGCACTTTCAAATGAAATAAAGATCTCCCTAACAATGTTATCCCAGAAAAGTCATCGAAACACAGTTACGCTTCGTATCTACAAGAACTTAATAATTATATATATGAAGACCAAGATGTTGTGGCTTCTGTTATGGTCGCAGTCTCCTTTCGATTTATAGAAGTGGGTT